CTTTGTGGGTTAGTTCTCAGCAGACTTGTACCATATATCCGATCAAAATTCATTTGCGTGCCATACTGTGAATGCCCTGAGTTTTTGGTGGTCGAGTTCTGACTATTGCCACTTGTACTCTTGAGGGTAGCATTGTTTTGGCGTTGGTTATCAGTGTGGGCCATGGTGCTATTTCGCACGTTTTGGGTGCCAATACTATTGACCGTGGGGATTGTGGGCTTACTTATACTGCCATTGTTGTTGTTGGCATGATTTGGGGTCATATTCTTTTTTTTCCAATGGACTTATGGCTAGGAGAGGGCAGGGTCGACTGTCGTTGGATTTTGACTTTTTCCGGGATTATTTAGTGACATGTCTATATATACGGTGATAGGGGGTATAGTTTTATTGGCTATTTGATTACAATTTAGTGGCCTTTTGGTTGGTGTCGCTCTCTGAGAAGATAATTCTGTGTGGTTTGAGAGGGGTGGTGCGGTGGATTCTACGGTATCTCTCAAAGGGTTGGGTATAATTGCTGCTTGCAATGTCCTGTTGTTTATTCCACAATTAGACTCAGTGTGATAATTATATACGCGCCTTTCTATGACGGTCTTGTCCACCGCAACCTTTATTAGTCTGTAATTTCTGGCTTGCGATTGGGTGTGTTGGGAGTGGATGAATTTTCTGGCCTCAGCCGGTGTTTCGAACTGAAAACGAATAGGACAACACTTTTCATATTGACTCTTCTTCAGCCTGTAGCACTTAGTCTCGGAGTTGGGCATTTTCGCCTCACTAAGTAAGATGCGCTGTACCTTTTTTAGTGCCTCATTGTCCGGAACGTTGTAGACAATAGCATTTAGTTTAGCATCGAGTCGTTTTGTTACTTCTGTAGTAACAAAGTTAATTAGGTTATCCACCTTAGATACCGATTCCGTGTCAAGTTTGTTAAGGTCTACAGTTCTCATGAGGATAGTTAAAGGTGTCAGTTCACAGACCTGCGATCTGATATCGCTGATCTGATCTGATAATTTGGATATTTTGGTATTGGTTTCAGAAATTCTAGGATTTACTGACTTGTTTTTTATTTCCCTTAACTCGGCCTTAAGTTCTCCTATAGACAACTTTAGGAGTTCTATTTCAGAAGATAGTTCTGAAACAGAGCTTGAAGGCTGGAGCTTTTCGATAAGTACATAAGGTGAAGGGAGGGTTTCTGTGTGAGCAGAGGGTACTGAATTTTTGGGAGTAGTGCTAATACTAGCTGTCAGTATAGTTTTATCCTCAGTTTCAGCTCGACGCTTACGACATACAAGTGGGTTATGTGGCTCACTATAACCATTTGTAGGGAGTGTGTTGCTTGATGTAGCAATCAGCGACTTAAAATTAATCATCAGATTTACAGGGGATTGAGTTCGTTGCTTTTTATTTTGGCTAACCAAAACTATTTGATATGAGAGTTATTAGTTATAGGTATAGAGGTAGTAGAGTACTTGTGCAAGTATTACAACAAGATAAATTTTATGTAACGAATCACGCAAAAATGTAACGCAAACGTTGGACGTACCGCGTTATAATTCCATGCAGTGCTGGCTTCCGAGCCATATAGAAGAACTGACTGACCTCACACTTGTGTTGAAAATCCCAATTTGTTGTTTATGCTGAGTTAGCGCAGAAGACTTCCGAACTGGTTTCCGGTTGGTGAAGGCGTATCTTGCCTTTCCGACTCTGGCTGCCAGGCTTTGACATATCCATCCATTCCGACTGCTTGTGGTTGAAACAATGCTTCCTGGGCAGATAAGTGAAGGAGGTAACCTCTGTCAAATCCCTCCTGCTGATGGGGATTGGTGCCGGTTGTTATTGTTGTTGCGGTTCGGTGGTTATCTTCAGCACCTCCGTCTTCTGTATTTTCACCTGATGTCCTGTCTTCACAGCCTGTTTCTTCGGCTAGTTTGTTGATTTTCGCCTGCAAGTCTTCGAGTTTGTGGGACAATAAATATATATCATCTGGGAAATCCAGATCTCCTAGAGTCCTATTATCTTTGGTCCAGCGTGCTGCTGTCTCCTCGCTCTCCACATTCGGATGCAAAATGTATCCCACCACAATTAAGAAGGCAATAGGTGATAATAAGTGGCCCTGTCGTACTCCTTTTCGCACTTCGAACGACTCGCTGAGTTTCCCAGTTCTGGATCACCTGACATGTGGCATTGTAATATAGCCAGGTGTTGGATGAGGTTGATAAAGACTTGGGTCGTGCGCACTACGGTGTTAAAGCAGATTCCTAATTACATCTGGATCAACGCTGCACTGTCGAAGGCATCTTCGAAGTCGACAAATTTGAGGTAGAGCGGGGTTTGACTGCCATTCTGTGCATTTTCTGTGATGACGATGCGTAGAGTTGCAATTAGATCAGCATTTGATTTGCCTTTCCTGAATCCATCTTGTTTCGGCGAGCATCTTTTATTCTCTCCTGGATGACAGCTTAGTATTTTACATGTCGTGGACAACAGTACGATTCCACTCCAGTTCTCGAAGAGGTCTAAGCGGCAAATCTTTGGCAGCTTGACGAGATAGTCTGTCTTCTAGTCAGTAGGCAACCTCTCTCCCTTCCATAACTTCGATTATAATGGCGTGAGAAAATCTTCCACAGTTTCTGGGTCCATTTTCAGTGCTTCAAGACGGAATTCCATCTTGCACTGCTGGCTTTCCAGACTTCAGTAGCTTGATCGCATTCAGAATTCCCGCTATCGCTGAAGGATTGGTGCTCACTGGCAGCTAGTACGCTGCGTGCTGCTGGTGGTGGTGTATTTCTTGGCAGGTGATGGTCGTCTTAAGAGTCCTTTGAAGTGATCAGCTCAATGTTTTATGTGTTAATCCTCCTTGGTAATCTCGTTCCTTTGAACATCTTTTATTGGTTTCATCATCCGAATTTATATCTTACAGGATATAGACTTGGTCATTTGATATAATGTCCTGAGGTTTCTTTTACCTGCGGCCTGCCAGTTCTGTCTCACTTGCTAGTGTGGTAGAATTGTCTTTTATCTTTTCCAGCAATCTCCTTCACTTCTTTATTCAGTGAAGTGTAAACTGAACTCAGCTTCTTCTTCCGTCGCCCATTTTTGCTTTGAATCATCTTCTCTTTCACCATCCTCTTCTCCTCTCCTCTATTAGCTTCCAGGTCGTTGTTCGTTGAGAGCCATTTTTGTCGTGCCTCTTCTTTCTCCATAGAAGAGTTGCACACCTTTCCTTGAACATTACATTCAGAAAGTTAGTTACAGTGTTCTTTTACACAGGCTTTCTCAGTAATGCCACTTAGCGTTTCCGACTTTGATGTGATTTCTGCAATGAAGGTATCCCTTGTAGTTTTGTCCTTTACTTACTGAGTGTTGAACTTGAATTGCGGCCTGTCTCCAGTTATTCTGAAGGATCTCAGCTTCACCTTGAAGGCTTCTTGGACTAGATGATGGTCTGAGCCCACATCTGCCCTCCTTCTCGACTTAGTGTACGGTAGACTATCTACGTCTCCTCTTCCTTGAGGTTGAGATGAAATCTGTTTGGGTGGTGGTGTGTCTGTCAGGCGAAATCCATGTTATTTTGTATGTACCTTTGTTTTTGTACACACTGACTGCGATTACCAAACTACTGTAAAGCGAATATTCTTCCGTACTCATTCATTTTTCTGAGCCAGAGCCCCTCCACTCATGATGAGTTCCCTTCCTGTGTTTTCTGCTCCGAGTTCAGCTGGCATTCATACCGCCCAATAGGATTTTGATGTCACATTTGGGATGCTGCCCATAAATGTTTGTAGTTGTCTGTAAAAATCGTCCTTCTTCTCTTGTTTCGCGTTGTTTGTAGCATTGTGCGTAACATTGAATAATTGTAACCTTCCTTCCTTCTGAGTTGAATCTTGTTGTCATGGTCGTGGATGAGGTAATTTGTTCCCACTGCATTAGAGCTTTGACTGTCACTGGCGGCAACATTATGGCCACTCACTTCCCCAGTGTGCTCATGGTTGTCGTCTGGGTGACCGGACTATTCTTAAGGTTGTATACGACATACGTGAGGCCACTCCTTGAGGTGCATAATATCATTGCTCCTCCGCTATTCAAAAGGGATGCTAACATTCTAGAAAGTGTCCAGAGACAAGCGACAAAATGGGTGATCGGCCTCCGCAACAAATCATATGAGGAAAGACTGAAGAAATTAAGTCTTTTCACACTTAGTTACCGTAGTTACAGGGGAGAGCTCATCACCGTCTATGAGATCTTAAATGACCAGGCCCACCCTAATAAGAGCATCCTGCCATTAAGTGATTATAGGCTTCCAAGAGGTAACCCGCTAAGGATAGCACACCAGAGACCAAAGACTCGAGTGCGTTCACACTTCTTTTCACTTCGAGTTTGCCGTCTCTGGAACTCTTTACCGGCGGCCGTAACTACAGCGCCATCTGTGGAGACTTTTAAGCGGAGGCTGGACAATCACGCAGAAATGCATGGTTTGTGTCTCAATGGCTTATCCTCTTAAAATTTGAAACCACACTGTCAATGGATGAGCATACAAGCTAAATCCCCACGACCCATTCTGTCTTTTCTCACTGTACCGACTAATCTGTCTTTTCCTTAGGTCACCTTTATTATTTCACTTATCTCAATCTATATTATCTACACTACAACCTATTATTATTGTTATTACTATTCTACTTTTATGACTACACCGAATGACCAACGGATGTTAGGTAAAACTCCATTCACGGCAGCAACTCAGTCCTAACATACTGCACACTACAAACCAATCCTTGCAACACTCCTCTTGGAGTCTACCAGAGCTAAAGCAGTCGAGTGGCGGGATTTACTACGCATAAGTTCACCGAAGATCTGGAACCTCTACCTTACAATCAAGAAGCGAGCTCAAAGAAATCACTGGTTTATACTAGTTCGTAATCAAGATATTAGATATTGGATATTGCAAAGGTATTTGATGTATTGGATATTGAATTGCTACTGAACAATGTAGTAACTAAACTCCATGGCAATCACAGCGCCACTGATTTGAAGTTTCTGGTGGGGATGAGAGAGAGCATCTATAATCTAATATCTTTCGAACAACCCCCAAAATCTGCACAACCAAGGTATATCAATTTAAAATTTCGAAAGAAAGTATGTCAGATACAAATCATGTAGTCAAAGAGACGTCATTTCCTTGTTCAATGTAAAGAAGTATCCCACTAGAACAATGGGTGTTCCAAAAGTTCCTCCACCAGATCCAGAGCATTACCTAAAGATGAGACATTCAGCTTCCGATGTGTGCCAAAAGCAAAATTCAGATGCATTACCGGAGAAAAGTAACTAAATGTATATTAAAGCAATGATAAACTTCAGAAAGCTTCTACGACTGCTGTCTTCAAAATAAAAAGGAACCTTTGCCAGCAGTGAAGCCTACAGAAGTAAATTCGTTTTCTTGCAAGGACTTTATAAAATGTAATATGAAAAATGTCGACAACGCCGTACCACCAAAGCCAAGAGCATTTTTAGTTGATACAAGAACAGGACACAAGTTTGATGTAAAGTATTCTGGCCTCCAACCATTTTACGTGAAGCGTAAGGTAATTTTAATCACATAGCTAATTTTTTATGGGCAGAATTATGGTGAACTACCTAAATATCTTACTGAACGTGAGAAGGCTGCTTCTGAAGCCCAGAAAGACTATGAGGAGTATTTGAGACAGCTAAAAGAGAAAAATTCTTTGCAGAAAATCTCAGCAGATGAGAAACAAGTAATTAATAGTAGTAATGCTATGAAGACTTCACATCAATTTAGGCTTTACTGGACCGCTTGAAAAGTAAATGGCAACAAAGGTACAAGCAATACCAATCCTTATCTGTCATGATTGACACTCCACCAAAAATGCACCATAAGCTGTGGTTAGAAAAGGAGATGGAAGATATAGAAAAGGACATAAAGCTCCTGGAGGGATACGACTATATTTATGTTGCTAAGCGAGGAATCAACTAAGTTTTTTGGTGTATCTGAACAAAAAAAATAATATCTAAAGAATCTGTGCATAAAAACATAGAAGTTTATATGAAATTGTATCCTTGATATATATATATATATATATATATATAACATATGTCAAGTCCTCGTGGTATATTTCTTCACAATAAATTTTTTACACCTTGAGGAATGTGTTTTCAGATACAGTTAGACGGCAGCAGTGCTCAGTTCGGTAATTAAATTTGTACCGAGTGACTTAATTGCACTCAAATCCTCTATTTCTTTTGTAGATGTGTGTACTCTAATAACCATCATGTTTATGTAATTGGAAATTAAAAATTCTTTATGAATTAATGTTTTTAATCTAACAGATTTTGGTTTTAATTTTGTCAGCAAGACTTGTGTACTTAGATCATTTTTAGTTAATTTAATTTTTTCTGGACAAAAATGTGTTTTTTAGATTAAGATGATACAGTTGTGAATATGTTTATATGGTAATTTTTGTCTTTATTCCGTTATACATGCGAAATCTGAATAAGTTACATCATACTACGCTTCGCTGTATACGAAGAAATATTTCACTAAATAATGTAGGAATAAAAAAACATGGGCACATTGGTGGCTATAAGTCTCACAAGACGACATTGACACAAATGTCACTTCATTTCTGGATGTCGAAATGTAAAAGAAGAACTAGTTAGGAAGGCAAATGTTTTTCAGAATCTAGAAACATACAGGTCTAAAGAAAGGCAAGTCAATGTACGTCTTAACACATTTTCCAATTTCTGACCACACTATGAAAAGATAATTGGAGTAAGCACAAATCACTTAACAATGAAACTGTCCTACTCAAGCAGCACCACCTTATAAAAATCAGGTCAAAAGCCAGTTGTCTCCTCTTTAAGTGGCATTTTTTGTCGTTCCCACAGACAATTTTTTCTTATATAGATTCTGAATTCAGTAAATTTTCGAGAAGGAAATAGTTTGGTGCGGTATTTTCACTAGCAGGCTGATTTAATGCTAAAAACTTCATTATTCAGCACAGTAAATGCAGTCTGATTATCCCCTCAAACTGATTTTTACTCGGAGCTACTTAGTGCTACACAATTACTTGGAGGAGAAAAATTTCTTCCTTTGACTTTAATCTAGTTCTACACTAATATATATGGTATCGTTCGAATAACTAACCAGTGCATATTCAGAATAGAGATATTTCAGTGCTAGTGAATCACCTAAATTGATTAGTCAAAAGAATGATCTTTGATGGAGATGTAAGTAAATAAAAATATCCTATCCTAAATGTATCAGAAAATCATAAATGGCAGTGTGTTATATATCCTAGATATCTCACTGAAAGTAAGACAATATTAAAAATAAGTGTATACTCCACATAAAGAGGTTGCGTACTGAGTTCAAATTTGGACGCTTTTCATTAACATTATGAAAGTCACAGAAGTAGACAGAAGCTTGAGTAGAAGTCATGAGAATGGAAGGTAAAACTCTGATATATAAATGTTTATATTCATGCGTGTTTACACTTAAGACCAATAAATAACAGGTTACATGTATAGTAGATGTGTAAGGCTACAAATGTAAACAGCAAGACGAAGTCTTTTGACAAAACAGAATGAGGAACACATACATATGAACTTTGAGTTTATAGCTCAAAATTTTTCAGTTTCCAAAAAGTTGGAGTGTTTGCAGAGTTCACATCTGTTCCTCCTGAATACTGGCCTCAGATGTTTACTCTGAGTTGCTTTCAACCCTACAGTATTTAGAATAATGTGTCTCATTATTTTGGGAAGTTGGAAGAAGTATGGAAAGTTACAATTTTTGATTTCAACGGCACTATTTCTCCGTAGTCTTCTAGTGTTTCGAAAAACAGTAGCAAAAACTATTGCATTTTCGTTCAAGGTTCTACGTTTTCATCTATTTACATCTCTGTCCATCTAATAGCCCAGTGTTGTTCCCAAATTCTTCACCTTCTGCTCTCACTGGACACTATCTTGTGATAGGAAACAACTTATGTGTTCTGATATGATGTTTATTTAGTGATATGAAACCAGATATTTCGGTAGCATGGACGATAGCAAAAAATAATTGACTTGTCCACAGTTTGAATACCAGATGAAGAGGAGAGTAAACAATGCGAAAAGTTGTTGCATGATGAAACACCGATTAAGAAAATGCGGAAGGATATTAACCACCACTCGTATTCATTTTCACGGAGATTCAACTGATACAGATGCTATAATATGTCGTGTTGAATATACGGCGATTTATTTCCACGAAAACTAATCATTTTTGGGAAAAAAGTTTTCCATGCAGCTGATAAATCTTAGGAGATGACTGCTGTAATATTCTGGGATCAAACAAACATTTTAAAAACCGATAAGGAATAGGAATTAGGCAATTTAATCAAAGTCTTGGGACTCTCAAATTTATGATAATAGGAAAGATGCATAAATCGAGAGCAAAAAAACGTTACACTATATCCTAATTCTTTATATATATAAATAAATAAGTGAGACACAAAACATACTTCAGTTGACACTTTCACACTTTTACAATTAAAGTGGCAACGATCAGCTGAGAGTTATATCATAATAAAGCCATCAGCATGACTTAGCCTTGAAAGTTCATTTTGATGTAAGTCTTGTCAAAATTTGTCATCTATCTCCAACAATCAGTTGGAAAACGCTTAAGTCATAATACAGGGTGCTGACACTCTCTGTTCACTTCTCTGCTCCTTACCACCCGCCACCACAACTCATGCACTAGTACAGTTCACAGTGCACTGCATATCAGAAATATTCAAAACCTATCAAAAGACGTAAATGAATCGTGTTGGAGGACGCAATTTTAGACGATAAGACATGAAATGGCAGCCTGTAAATAAAAAATAGCACTGCAGAAAGCAGAGCAGACTAATCAAAGTAGTGCACTGAATTGAAGTGTTTATTTTCTCTTCCTAGGGAAAAGTCAATGCAGAAATATATTCTCGTCAAAGATTGTGTCTTAAGATTGTTACACTGGCATTCGGGTAGGTGAGTACGACGAATTAGCTCCAATCAGTGGTCTGATAGCTCTAAACACTTAGCCTTCAAAAGTCTCATACAACAATTGGAATACTACAAGTGGCTTAGAGTCTGTCTTTCTGGAATGAACTAGTGAGAATATGATTAGTAATGAAAGCATTATTTAGTGTTTGGGACTGTATATAATGTTTGCTTTTGCAAACAAACGTCAATCGATATACGCAATTTGATGTCGTTCAAATTGTCTTCTCACTGTCTGACTAACTGATAACAAATTTCTCTGTCTAAACAGAAAGTTTTTCTGCATGAGAAATTAAAAAGGAGGAGCTTACAACCGTTCAGTGAGGATTAAATTTAAGAAATGATCATAAAAACAGGCATTCCATAAGAATTAAAAACTTATCATAAACTCTCGGTACTGGACACAAAAGTAAACCTTTATACACCAAGTGAAATCTTTCATTACTGTATACAATAAAACACAGAATAATCAGTTTGTGTAACAGTCATACTAATGATCAGTGTCACCATGCAGTCTTGTAGTAAACTGCTCGCTGATTAGATTGGCAGCTGCTCGGTTCCTGTCAGAGGCAGCAAAACATCTGCTGAGTGATAGGAAAAAATAGTAAACTAATAACTGTCATGTATATGACGAGAAGCGGAGAGCAATGCATTTCAAGAATCAGACCTTAATAACCATTATTTCTCAAAATTTATTTCCTCTAGCCTGAATTTTTAAAGGTTATCTTTGTCTATTATGTATGGATTCATTCCATTCCCCTGGATGATATCAGTTTGGGATACCTTTCCCTTTTTATTCTAACAACAAAAATGGAAAATGGGGGCGATTTTTGATAACGAGAATAACGAAAACACCATGATTAAATAAACAAACTTTCAGATAGACGTGGTCAATAATAGCTAAGAAAACAAACAGTCCAATTTAGTAAGGCTACAATGCAAGGGAAGTAATAATAATAATAATTAGCTTTATTCCAAAACAGTACTTGTGGTACAGGATGGAATTCTCAGCATTTTTACTACAGTATTGCATCCAGTTAGTACATTATCAATAAATAGAATTGTACATAGATTAAGGAATTTTCATTTCATTATGACAACAACATATTGGCATGTCGGTAGCAAAGCCAAAGTTGAACAGTGTTTGAAGGTGTTAGAAAAGTAGGTGCTATCATATTTACTGGCGTAAGCGAGAGAAAGAAACAAAGCAGCACATAACGGAAAGAAAGAGAAAAAAGAGAGAGAGAAAAGGAAAAGAAAGAAAGAAAATGTTGTACCTATAAGTGATATGAGTTGGAAAGACGAGATCCAGTTGTTCTACTGACTATTTAATGAGTTACAGGTGTCACGCCTAATGCTTTCTTTATCGCACAGAACACGAGCTAAGTAGGGTATGGTTGAGTTTTTGTACTTGCTGGTGCGAGCATATATTTTCACATATAGGCTTCTGCTTTCGCTTGATGAGATGCGAGGGGAGAGTTGTGAGTGAAGAGGGTGGTGTGAGTTAGATAAAATGGATTTGGCCCACTTTTCACATGAGTTCATGTGCCTGTCAACCAGAATATTAACAAGCTGGTTAAGTGGCACGTTGCTTACCCTGCTGACAACCTTTAACATCCTGCGTAATATGTTATAGTCTTTCTTCAGTAGTCCGGGAAAAACTAAGGGGGAACAATAGAGAATAATAGGTAGAATGCGAGAGCTAACGAATTGTAGGAGTAAGGGTTGGGTTATACCAGGATGTTTTAACTTATTGATGTAGAAGGTAAGACGGAATATTTTCTTAGAAATCGCCAACAAATGAGACGACCAGGAAAGATCAGCAGCTAGAATGACGCCTAGATATTTAATTTCCGACTTGGTTTCTATTTCAGTGCCATCTATTTTTCACACCTCGTGAGAGACAACCAGTTTGCTTAGGTTGAATTTATGCCTAAAGGTGAAATTAACCGTTTGGCATTTGGAGGGGTTTAAGGTAAGACCGTTTTCCTTGGACCACTGGCTGATTTCTGACAGAAAGTCATTAAGTTTAGAGCAGTCCCTTTGACATTTGACAGGCAGA